CAAAGAGGTGGTGGTGGCCTCCACTCCGTCCTGCTGGGTCCCTGTGAGTCCATGTGGACGACAAAGAGGAGCCCCCCCACCCCCACCCCGTGAAATGGATTGACACAGTGACTGTACCAGTGGGCTCAGACCTAGCAGCAACGGCACTGTTTCCGTTGTTCTGATAACCATCTTGATGGAGCCAGTTGCCAGCCTTTGTCCCCAAGCTGCTGACCAGGTTGGAACTGACCGCCTTTCCTTATGCTGCCAAGCCTGCTCCCAGCACCTTGGGCCTCCCTGCGGAGCAGACCCCCCCTGCCCCCTGGCCAGGTTGGTGCCCCGGGATGGGCCTGGCTCTGCCCAGCTCTGGACGGAGCCCTCCCCATGGCTGCCCTGGTCTGGGAACGGGGATGGGAGACTAGCTGGCTGTCCTGTCTGGGTGGAGGGGACTCAGAGGCCGCTATGGGGAGCCCTCCCTAGGTCACCTGTAATGGGGGTGAGTGAGTGCAGGGCCCCGGGCTGCTCCTCCTGGGCCCCTGCCCAGGGTGTACCCATAGGGTCAGCCCAGCGAGCTGCAGAACGCCCTCTGTTTCCACCCTCACAGGCCCCGGCTGTGGAACGTGGGTCACCTGGTGCACGGGTCACAGAAGCTCAGGCATAGGCAGTCTGGTGACTTAGGGCTCTGAGGGGACACTTAGGGAATGGGGCGTGGTGGGGACTGTGGAGCCCTGCCTTTTCCTGGCCCTTTAGACCCATGACAGCTTCAGAGAAAGAGCTAGCTGCCTGTGGGCTTTGAGGGGGGCAACGAGGGCAACCAGAGTCACTGTCCTGAAAGGGCCAGGGCTCCCATGGGTGCAGCTGGCAGTGGAGGAGAGGGGCCCAAGTTGGGCTTGAACCTGGGGCCTGCAGACAGAGCTGCTGGGGCCCTCCCACCAGCACCTGGTACTTCCTGTGGGCTTTAGGGTCAAAGCACGGTTGGGGTGTGCTGGGGTCCTGTTTTCCAGGTGGGGGTTCCAGAGGCCTCCCCCAGGCCTGTGGGAGGTGGTGTATTGAGTATGTGTTCTGTGTGTCTGAGCGTGCATGTATGTGGGGTTTATGTGTGGTGCGTGTTGTGTGTATATGAATGTGCATGTGTGTATGTATGCGTGTGGTATATATGAGTGTGTGCGCGTGTGTGTTGTGTGTATATGAGTGTGTGCGTGCGTGTGTGTTCGCTGCTTCCTGTGCACAATGAAAGCTGCAGAAAGGGAGGCTGCAGGAGCCCCTTGCTGTGTAGGGACCATGAAGCCCCCATCCCTGGGGCTGCCCCAGCCCATGGCTCCAGGATGTTTGGCTGAACTGGTATCAGCAGGGAGGGGTGGAGCCTGTGAGGGGGGGAGCAAGAGTCCCTGCCTGGGGACCCTGGCCCACCTACTGCCCCACCAACAGATGGAAGTGATTTGGGGTCACATGGGTCTGGGGGAGGGGCGGCTATCCCAGTGGACCAGGCATCTCATCATGTCCAGGAAGCAGGCTGAGCCACATGTTCCGGGGCTGCCTGCCTTTGTCTGTGTAATGCTGCAGGGGCCCCGGAGAGGGTCTCTGAAGAGGGGGCAGGACCACTTCCAGCCATGTGGGGAGGGGGCTCGGGGGCTTCCCCCTTCCCTCCCAGAGCCCTCGCCCCGCCCTAGCCGGAGAGGGAGGGGGGCAGGGCGAGACGACGGGCGGCCTCAAATACCCGCCCGCTATAATTAGGAGTCAGCCTCATCTGCACGTTTACAGACACTGCTGTTTCTGACTCACGGCGACCCTACCGGTCAGGGTAAGAACTGCCCCTGTGGGCTCCGCCTCCGTGCTCATGGGCGTGGAAGGCTCTCAAGGAGTGGCTGGTACTGCTGAACCTCGGAGGGAGGAGCCCAACGCAACCCTTTGCGCCCCAGGGCCCCGCTCTGAGTCGGAATCAACTCAAAGGCCGGGGCGTTGATTTCCCGTCCTCCCTCTGCCTCCGTGAAGGAGGAAGGACTGTCTCCCACCGAGGTGATGGGCAGACGGTTTGCACCGAGGATGACACTACAGGGTGGAGGGTCCAGCTACCCGCCCACCCAGCCCCAGCCCCCCGCAGTGGGAGGAGGCACCGCCTGGCCTGGCTGTCTCCTCTGTGAAGCCCCCGTGGAGAAAGCCTGCTTTGGGGCAGTCGTCCCTGCAGCAGGTGATGGGGTCGCTGTGAGTCCGAGGGGACTCAATGGCCATGGGTTTGATGCTAATCCTTATTGAGCCCGCCCCCCACCTCCAGCAGAGCAGAGGTAGCCTAAGCGTGGTTCCCCCGCACCTCCCCTTCCCCCAGGCTCTGCCCTGCCCCCAGCCTCTTCCTGCTCCCAAAACAGCTGCCCCGTGCACGCCCAGCAGAGCCAGGGGCCGCAGGGTTTTCCAAAGGCCTCTGGCCTTTCTGAAGCCCATTGCCTGGCCTTTCTTCCTGGTTCCTCCCAGCGGGACTGTTTGCACCCCCAGGCACTCGGAGTCCCCTGCTGAGTTTGAAGGAGGAGGCAGCTGGGTGGGGTGGTGAGCCGGCCCACTTCCTGCCATCGCCCATTTCCCATGGCAGTGGAAAAAATGGTTTATCTGGGGCCTCCATGTGGCCCAGAGGGCCTGAAACCCCTCACCCTGCTACTCCCTGGGGAGAGCAAGTGGGGGTGGGGGCAGCGTGTTTTGAGTAGGAGGCCACAGACAGCTCAGTGATTGGTAGGCGCGCCCTCCCCCTCCTCCCCACATCCGGGAGTGCTGGGTCTGCTGATGCCCCTGTTCAGCCTGGGGTGTGTTTGCGGAAGCCTGCTGGGGAAGCTGCCTCTCGCCACCCTTAGAGACCGCCCCCCCCCCCAGCAGCCCAGGGCTGTGGTCCCCCACCTCCCGAACCCCCCACCCTGCTTCCAGGAGTTGGCAGGCTGGTCATCCGCACATCTGGGTGGTCCCCTCCTTTGGGCCTGGAGCACCCCAGCAGATAGAAAGGTAACCTATGGGGCTGGGGCTGGGGTTAGGGTCACAGAAAGTCCTCAGAGGGCGGGGCTGGGGAGATGGGGAGAGGCTGGACCCTCTGGGAGAGGTGAGCAAGGCTAGGAGAGAGGTTCTCCCCCCCACCCCCAGTATGTGTGTGGGGGTGGGGCGGTGTTGGCATGTGTGCAGGCCCTAGGAGTGAGGTCCCCTTCTGTGAGTGTGGTGCCTGTGCACGTGGCCATCCCTGGGTGGCAAGCTGAGCCCTCTTGACCATGCTCTGGGCAGCCCCCGCTGGCAGAGAGGCCCCTTGTGGGCGTCCCCCTTCAGGTCTGTGTCTCAGGGGGGTTGGGGTGGGCAGAGGCTGTGGAGATGAGACTCTGACTTCCACCTGCACTCGGACCCGACACCCTGGCCTCTGAGGTGGGACGCAGGGGTACCGGGCAGTCAGGAGAAGCCCTCGGTGGGCTGGGTGGAGCTTCCGGGTCCTGGACTTCAGTTGCAGCTGTGAGACCAGCAAGGAGAGCCCCACCTCTCAGGGTCCCATCACCAAGGCAGGTGTCACCCCTCCCATTGAGGCCCATTCAGAATCTCCAGTCCGACCTTTCCACTACCGGTGTCAACCACACAGGCCTGAGAGATACACACAGGTGAACTCGCTTAGGTGCAATGAATCCTTGTTAGGTGGCAGACAATAAAAGCGCTTTGTAAATAAACCTCCCTAGGTGGAGCTGTGGCATTGTCAGTTATAGCATTGCTACTCTGACTGATCCAGAGCCATGAGTCCCTCCTTTTACATGTTGGGCTGCGAGCTGCAACCCCAAGGTCAGCAGTTCAAGCCCACCAGCTGTTCCTTCTGGAAAAGATGAGGCTTTCTCTTCCTGAAGAGTGACAGGCTTGGAAATCCACCGGGGCAGTTCTACCCTGCCCTGCAGGTCTGCTAGGAGTCGGTATTGAGTTAGATTCCCACTTCTGCTTTAATGGCCACTCCACTTTCAAGAAAGGTATTGACAACAGGTCCACAAATAGTTCCTACCGGCTGGCAGCGAAAACACCAGGGGAAACCACAGCTCGATGAGTCAGAACTGACTCCATGGTGGGAGATTGGGCTTCGTGGATGCAGACACTCCGGCCTCGCCCTCCCCGCTGCTGAGTAGATCCGAGCAGCGTCTTGCCGGGTGGGTGCGTTGGGCCACAGGTTGACCAAGAATGTTTCTGCTGTCATACCTGATGACTGGGACGCTTCGATTAAAAAGTAACCCATCGTAGGTGGCGGGCTGGTGGGGAGGATGTCGGTCCTGTGTCTCTGTGTCCATTCACACTGGCCTCGTGAAGTCCCTGTCCTGGGCGCCTGCACCCCTAAGAGCTGTCAGTCAGTTGGGCGAGGCTTGAAGGAGACAAGTCATCGAGTCAGTCCGGGTTACGTCTGTCCAGCCTCCCTTTCAGATGCAAATGCAAGGCTGCCCCTTGTCCTGGCGCAGGGGATGCCCACCACTTGACTTCCAGGGGCCCACGGCCGCAGGGGTTGCCATCCTTGGACACCAGCAGGTGGAGGCAGAGAAGGCGTGCCTGCTGGTAATGGGGCAGGAGCTGAGAAAAAACAGGTGGCAGCCGGGTCCCTGGGCTTTGGCTGCCATGGGTCTGAGGTGGCCTCCGCCGGGGTGCTGGGGCCCCGTGGTACCCAGAGAGAGAGTGCCGGTGGGCCGCCTTGGAGCTGAGCGAGGGGCACAGGCTGGGTGACTGGCCGAGAGGGAAGGAGATTCAGGTGCTGGGAGCACAGTCTCACTGTGGGTCAGGTTGGTCTGTGTGTGTGGCTACCGATTCTCTCTTGATTTAGAGACACACATTGGAGGGAGGGGTGGGCGGGTTTGTGGGGCTGTGTGCAGGGCTAGGGGATACTAGCCTTTGAAGGTCTTCTGCTTGGTGGGCACCCTCAGGCGGGTGAATCTCTCCGGACCTGTTTCTCCACTGAGGAGTGGGGGCACTGGCTGGGCGCGCCAAGGGCATCCTGGTCGGCACTCGGCACTCCCCCTAATGCCCGCTCTCCCCCCCCACAGCCTTTGAGGCGGCTCCCGGCGACATGGCTGACACCCCCAGGGAGGGAGGGCTGAAACAGGCCCCCGCACCACGAAATGAGAAGGCGCCCGTGGACTTCGGCTACGTGGGCATCGACTCGATCCTGGAGCAGATGCGGAGAAAGGCTATGAAGCAGGGCTTTGAGTTCAACATCATGGTGGTCGGTGAGTCTCCGCCCCCCTGCCCCCGCCTGTGGGGGTGGCTGCTCCTGGGTCTCAGTCTTGCTGTGGAGACAGGTGACTTGCTTTCTGGGACACTACCTGTGCCTGGAGAGGGGACCACGGCTTCTGTCGGCACCCCAGGGTGTCTTGCCCCCACAGCGAGAGTCCCCGGGGAACATTCCAACAACACATGCGTTGCAGGTCCAGTGTGGAGCCCCACAACCTAGGCACTGTGGAGATGCCCCCCCCCCCCACTCTCCTTGGAGGCCTGGGGTCTGAGCCCACCCCACAGGCCATGCCGCGCAGCAGCTGTGTCCCACCAGGAACAGGCGCTTGTGGTTCCTGTTCCCAGCCTGGACCCAGAGGTGCCTTTAGTGCACCCGTGTGGGGCCCCTGCTGGTCACCAGGGAGAGTCAGTGGCTAGCCCGACCGAGGCAGGGTCTAGGACCACGGCCAACCTTGTTTTCAAAGCCCCTTGGGGCTTGCTTATTCCTTGTAGGGACCCTGTGAAGAGGCCTCCTCAATTTCCAGGAAGAAATGGGGTACAGAGGGTGCCCCAGTTTGTAGGAAGGAATGCATGCCAGGGGCAGGGTGAGGCCCAGAGAGGGCACTGGGGCCAAAGGGGACTCTGGGTCCCCTACTTCTGATGCCTACATGCTGGGGCTGTCAGGGGCCACCTCACCTGCAGGATCCAATCCAAGTGGAGACAGGGTTGACACCCCATACTCCCTCTTGCTGGGGCCAAGGATGTCCCCCATGTGCAGCCCCAGTGACACCCCAGCTCGAGCCCATCGGGGACTCTGCGCTCAGCCTGGCCTCTGTTCCCTGGGGTCTTGGATCCCAGGTCCTCTCCCCAGCCTGTGCCCCAGGGTCACGCAGAAGGACAGAGGTAGTGGTCTTCTTAGAAGCTTGCACCAGGCTCGGGGGGTGGGGGGGAGGGCTGGGAGATGGTACCCTCTTTGCCTTCTGGGACCATGGTGCCCTGGCTGGAGCATGGGGGTGGGTGGAGCCAGGGGACGGGCTCCCGTGATTTGTGGGGAAGAGCTGGTCCCTTTTTGAGGGGAGGGGGCTTGCTCTGGCAGGTGGAGTCAAAGCTTGCTCCTTCACAGCCATCAGCCGGCGCCTGCCTTTGTTTTTTAAGCCACCCACGTGCAGTGAGACCTGGCTGTTGCTGACACCCGATCAGTCTTGGCAGCTGTTCCAGGCTTCTGCCAGACCACTTGTCTGTCAGCCTGCCATACTGTGGTGGCTGGATGTTCACTGTCATGCTGGACGCTGTGCCGCTGGTGTTTCTAACACGAGCAGGGTCACCCGTGGTGGACAGGCTTTGGTGGGGCCTCCAGACTCAGACAGACTAGCAAGGAGGAGGAGGCGGTCCACTCGGGGGAAAAGTGACCACTGAGGACCTCACGAGCGACCGCTGCTGGGTTTGGAGGAGCCCCGGATGGGGTGCTCGGCTGTTCTTCATGAAGCCAGCAGTTCCAACCCACCAGGAAGTCAATTGAGGGGGTTATGAATGTGGTCAGGGGGCAGGGTGATGATGCTCAGCCAGGAAATGGCTGGTGGGACCCCTCCCTTCTAAATGTACACGTTTCCTTGGCGATGTCTTCCTGTGCCCGTTTTTCCCCCTGTGCCCGCTGTTCTTTTGTTCCGGGGCCACCTGTAAGATGTGACTGCCCTTTCTGTGCTTGCTCGGTGGGTGTGCCCAGGAGCAGCCCCGGTGGTGCTTGCATACATTTACTTAGACGTTTAGGCCCAGGAAGTGGCTCTCACATGGTTGTAGAGGCCCGTCCCACTTGGGGCAGGCTCCAAGTCTGTGGGTCAGCTGTTAGCTGGAGGCTTCTCCTGTCTGGGTTGGCCCTGGGGGCTGGTGAGCCTCCGATGGGCAGGAACAACTAGGTTGGTGAGTTGAGAGGTGGATGAATCCAAGGGGGAGCAGGTCGGACAGCAGGGTGCTGATGGCTCCGGGGATCGGCAGGCAGTGTGGCAGGCGATTGGCTCCAGGACGAAAACTGGAGGCCGATGAACCAGATGCAGGTTCCAGACCCAGCAAAAAGCAAACAGGCTTTCCCACAGCATCCGTTTATATAGGAAGCAGGCCACACCCCCGAAGAGACCTCCTTTCAATTGACCTGAGTAAGGAGGGTACATTCCACCTTAATTTTCTTGCAATGGGTTGGCTGATCACAGCAGACTGGTGACATGTTAGGTTACATAGTGGGAGATTATTAGGTCCAGTCAAGTTGACACAAAACCCATCCATGGCAGCAGGCCAGCTCTGATTGGAAGCCACTCGCTGTGACGGGATACTTTGCTGGGAGGCACCTGCGCAAAAGAAACAGGTTATCAGGAAGGAAAGCACAGGCTAACTGCAGGCACCATAGGAGCGAGCTGTACTTCAGCATCCTCTTACAGCCGCCTTCTTTCTGTGGGCTGTGTCCACTGGACAAGCTGGGGCACGCACAGCATTGCTCAGGGTGGACGGAGCGGGGCGGGCAGTGGTCTGAGGATCCGATTGACCACAGCAGTGCAAAGACGAGAGAGGGACCTGGGGGGTGGGGGTGGGCAGTGAGTTTGGGAGAAAGGAAGATGAGGCTGTGGCAAGCCCGGCAGAGACCTGTCCATGGCACGGAATTGTGCGGGCAGATGTGGGTGCACAGGAGTGTGTGCAACTCTGTGTCCTTTCAACTACAGTTGTAAAAGGAGACAGAGTCCCCTGGCCTGAGGGGAGCCGGGACACAGGACAGAGGCCAGCAGAGGGTCGGACAGGGGTCTGTGTCCAGTGTCCTGACCGGGCTTGGTCTCTCGGCCGCTGTTAGCCCAGGACCCCGAGTCTCCACTATGCTCCCTCTGCAGAGCCCCTCCGACCCCACTGTCTCTCCCCCAGGGCAGAGCGGCTTAGGGAAATCCACCTTAATCAACACGCTCTTCAAATCCAAAATCAGCCGGAAGTCCGTGCAGCCCGCCTCAGAGGAGCGCAT